TTCTGAGAACCTATAAACTTTGCCACCTTGTTTTAAAACGATTAAAGCTCAAGATAGTTCTTCAGCTTTGTTTTAAACGATTTTATTGTGGGTGATGTAACAACAGCTTCGGGAAGGGTTAAATTCCCAGTCTCGGGCGGTTTGGCAGATAAATGATTGTAGAACGATTTCTGTTCTAGCAAAGGGAATTTCTACTATTTTCGAATAATTAAGACGGCTTGATCTTCTAGATTGGTCGTATTGGATAAGGTTCGGTCTAGATAGAGGAGAGAGGCCGTTAAGGATTTTGTAAAAGTATATAAGACGAAAATACTTTCGTCTTACTTCAAGTAGAGGCAGATTCAATCTTCTAACTAAAATTCTGACTGGGAGTGGAAAAGTTTCGAGTAACCATATGGGCTGCTAGATGTTGAACGGACTCGAGACGAGACACCTGAGTGGTGAAAGCGGTGTCATACAAGGCACAAGCATAATCTAGCTTACTCCGGATACAATTCTTATAAATTTGAAGACGGATATGAGCGGGTGCTTGTTTAAACTATCTGTACATAGCGCCAAGGCGTTGCCGACAGGTTCGCACAAGTTTTACTATATGATCTCGCCATCTCAGTTTACAGCTTATTTCGAGCCCTAGTAGAATAAGGCTTTCCTCGCGCTTTATGTTAGAGCCATCCGGTAAGGTAAATTTGAAATTATTTGCTTTATCAGGGCTATTGCAAACGAACATCCATGCGCATTTTGACGAGTTTAGAGTCATAAGATTGGAGCTGCACCACCATCATCATTTTTATTTTTTCGATGAAAGCATTTTGGTGTTAGTAGAAAAATTGGTTGCCCACGTCAACTGTGACATTATCAGTCAAAAGAATTTCGTATAATATACAGCCTAAGATAAATGTTTAGTAAACGTACAACCGGCTGTATATTATACGAAATTCTTTTGACTGATGATGTCATCGTAGCTGAGCAAACTTCTCGAATAAACTGCTTAAATCGTGGATAATCATTCTTCTATTCTACTTGCATCAGTAACTAGTCATGATATTATATAAACGATAAAAGTTTTCAAAAAACTGTAATATATGATCACTAATTTGGTTTAAAAATGGCAACGGAGATGGAAATTGTTGAAGTATCGGCTTATGTTTCTGACGAAGAGATCAATACAAATGAAACTGTAAATAATGGAAACAAGAAAAGAGCATAAAAGAGACAACGAAATTAGCAATGAAAATTTCTTGTTAATTTTACTGATGTAAATTTTAAAAAAAAACTGAACAAAAATAAATTAAATACTGAGTCTTTTCAAATTATTTACTATGCTAAAACTAATTATTTACCGAGCAAAAAATACTGGGCGTTTAATAAAAGTTGAATCACACCTGTACTTTCGTCAGATGTGACGAAAGTGCGTTTTTCAGAAAAAATTCCCGTGAATTTCGGAGTGCTTTTTGTGGCTGTGACGAAAATTCACACGTCGACGATGAAAGTTCCGTCGAGTGTGCTGAAAATACCCTTGTTTTTAACGGTTCCTGCTTAACTTTCATCACACGTAAATACCGCTATAAATACAGAATAGAATCAAGTGCTGTGAGATTATTATGTGATCGGGAGCACTCCCTCAGTAAGAGCTGCACCTACAATATACTACACTGCAGTACTTCCTTAGCGGTTTTTCGTTGATTCGGTACTTTATTATTATCGAATTTAATTTTCTACCATTTGGTACATGTAATATTGCATTTTTCATTTTTAAGTTCATTTAATTCTTTTTTAAATTCACTTAATTTTGTTCCATTTTTAATTAATTCACCTAATTTTGTTGGAATTAAACTTTGCACTTTTGGTAGTGATGGCGATTTATGTTGACGACGATGTAATTTATCAATTTTTAATTCAGGATTAATACATGTCATACATAAGCACGTCTGAAAATTAAACAAAATTGGAGAACATAATTTTAGTAATAAAATATTTTACGAATCACAGAACAGACTAATCATTTTAAAGTATAATTTACTTACACCCCACGAGTCAACATTTGGTTTAATAATATAATCTGGCACATATTGAACAAAAGTGGGATAATTAATATCAATTTCGGTTTGTGCTTCAAAACGTTGCTGAAATTTAAAGAAATTCATAGATTTATTGAAAATGAGAACTGATGGTGCTTATATATTGTCATCGAACGTAAACGACTATTTTTGGTCGTATATTGAGTAGTTACATGTACGTTAAATAAACTATTCAATCTATATCGAATTTGATGACCATGTTTATGGTTGCTCTTGTCAGGACATACACGAGAAACATCATCTTGATTGAAAAATTCTTCAATTTTCGAATTAAGAACTCTCGATGGTGTGGTGATTAACGGTGGAGCGTATTGATTAGAAAGATTAATTCCTAATTTCTGCCTAATATTCTATAATTGAAAAATTCTGTTTAAGGGTTCAACGAAAGTTTGAAAATTATTTACCTTTAATTTTTTTTTGAAAAAGAGAAAAGCTTACTCTAATTACGTCTTTCGGTAATTCACTTTTTGTCCATTAAACGAAGTGTTGCTCTTCTTCTTGCACCAGGACTCAGAGTTTGAACTAATAATTTTGATGGTGAAATTATTTGATTATCATTTGAGTGTTTTTTTTCTTTTCTTTTTTCATTTGGTGATGATAAGCTTGAATTTGAGATTGACAACGATTGTAAGCGTGTATTTGCACGTTCTGGTTTACGAAAAACAGCTCGTAATTCGTCATTTTCATGTTTCAATCTCACAGTATTTTGACAGCGACGTTTTTTCCTTCTTCTATTGTCAAATCGATTGGTTTTGATGATGATAAACTAATAGATTCTTCTAATTCGTTTTATTGTTTTATTTTTTGACTATAATTTGCTTTAATCAATGCACATTTCTTCCTATATTTTCTATAAAATATTTTTGTTGTACGCGTTTTGCTTTAATTTTGTTCTGATACTGTTTATCATATCTAGCTGATTGCTTAAGTGTATAGTTATAGAATTTGCAAGAAAAGCCCTAAATTGGACATTTTTCCTAATACTCTTCCACAAATTTATTTAAATTATTTAAAATTTCCAGTGTGACATTTCGTTGTCAACGACAACTTATTCAGACAAATAAAATAAAATTAACGAGTTAGATATATCTAAAGTTTAAACACATAAAATGACAAAATAAAAATAAAATTAGTCAATTCAATTTTCTTTTATTTTCTTTAGTCTAACCTTGATAGTGATACGGAATGGGATAAAACCTATCCAGTTATTACTATTACCGTTTTGTCTCCGTATCACTATCAAAATTAGACTAAAGAAAATAAAAGAAAATTGAATTGACTAATTTTATCTTGATTTTGTCATTTTATGTGTTTAAACTTTAGGTATATATAACTCGTTAATTTTATTTTATTTGTCTAAATAAGTTGTCGTCGACAACGAAATGTCACAGTGGAAATTGTAAATAATTTAAATAAATTTGTGGAAGAGTATTAGGAAAAATGTTAAATTTAAGGCTTTTCCTGCAAATTCTATAACTTTGCAAAGAAAGTTCATATAGAGCTGGGAAATGTTTCATTTTGATAAGATTTCTGCGAGCTATAATTCTGACTTGTTAAGAAAAAGTTTTAGGAACTTTCGAAGTGTCTGGGAAACTGGTTTTCCGGAAACCGGCTAGAAAAGGCCTAAGAGCAAAAACGGCTATCATATTCGGAATCAGCCCGGTGGACTGCCTATAATTTCTTTCCAGATCTCATATAAATAGGATACAGAATACCTTAAATACTCTACATTCTGAAGTTTTCAACTCTTTCTGATGTTTTTTGAGTGAATAGCGAATTTCTTAATATTAGGCCTAATATTAAATAAAATCATTATTCTCTCATAAAACATTTTTTTTAGGCTGTTTTCACCTAATTAGGTGAAAACTCTAATTTTCGTAAAACTTGCTTTTCGGTAAATTTTTAAAATTTTTTCTAAAAATAAATATTGCCACAAGACTCAGCATGGTCAATTACCTATAGTCCATTCATGTTTAAGGCTACCAATAGTCACCGGGTCCTAGTGGTGGGATTGGTAGGAAATTCGATACAACGCCGGAATCGCGGAAAATCAAGGTCTCAATTGACTTCCATTTTGAGAAGGACACCCGGACTATCAACCCATGAAAAAAAAACAATATAATCCCGGGAAATTTTTACAGACGGCCTAGTTTTCCATAGACCTCCTAGAAAACCCGTTGTAGAAAACTCTTCTGAAGATAATTTTGGTTATAAAACATGCCGTCAAGTCTGTTCTTTCGAATGGCGAAAATCGGACTTCTATCAGTTATCTATCAAAAGTTATGTAACGATCTCTATCGACAGGAAAAAAATCAAGTTTTTACTCTGAATTTTAGTACTATAGAAATAGACGGCTGAGCTATAAATCAAAGATGGCAAACAGGAAAAGAGAAATTTTATATGATGTCGAAAACCTCACATAACATCAAACTTAAAACTCTAAATTGAGATTGTATTGATATCTTCAGATCCTAAAAAGTAATTTTCTGACTATAAACACGATAAAAAAAGTAAACATCGTAGTTGCTGCGACGTTGTTGTTAAAATAAAGGATAACGTATAGATCTCTTAAGTTTTTTGTGATGTCGGGCCAATAGCCCGGGTGTCAACGACTCGTATGATGTACGCTGAGTTGGAATTTGAAGTTATTTTAGTCGAAATGTAGACAAAACAATCTCAGTTGACATTTTCGATGTAAACTGAGATTTTCTCTGTAGCAGGGCAAGATAGTTGCCGTTTTTATCACATATTCTGGACAGCAAATGAAAAAAGGGTAAAGGGTTCGACTCTAACAAATAAACAGTTCCGTAGTTATAGACCAAACAAGTTTCAAAATCTTGGTGGACATTTTGTGCATAAAAGCAGATTGAATACATGTTTCATTCTGATTTCCGGTTAAGTAAAAACCTCTAAAACTTTTCGTCTTCTGCCAAAATGTAGAGCTTGCTGTGCTCTATTTGTGATTTCAGTGAGAAAAGGTGTCTCTCAATCACATACTGATAATTAACCAGTATACGTCAAATTTTAAGCTCTATCCGAATTTGACTATTTGACACTTCGGAAACAATCACAATCCGAAATGGACGAGTTTTTAGAAAAACTTAATTAAGACAAAAACCCGTTTTCGGATTTAACCACCAAATTCTAAGTTCTAGTTTTAGCGTCATTACAGAGCACGTAAAATTACATACGCTTAACTATTTTTGCACTATTTGTTCAGTCTTTTTGTGGCTTTTTCGCTGTTGAACGGAAATTAAACAAAGAATTAATTTATAATTGCAATCGTTTTAGGGTCGGATTTTTAGGCTAGAGATTGAGCGCAAAATAAATACATACAGAGAAATTTCTTGATGTCTTTTAACTCTTGCTTATAATGCTGTTTACTTGCTCTAAAGTTATATCATTCAGCTTATCCCATTTTTCGTATGTTTTCTATATACACACATGTCTTCACTGAAAAAGAAAAATGTCTCTTTTATATTGGCATGCACCGATTATTTTATGGGGGCTCTCCGAGACCAGCGGTTTTAAAAATTGGAGAAACCTTTCTTCGAATCAAATTTTTTCGAATCGGCAGTTTTGTGCACAAATGTTTGCTCTACAAAATAAGGTTTTCAGAAAACGTTAAAAAGAATCCTATTTGAATTTGCCCTAGTAGAGCTTAAAAATTTTAAGTTTCTCTGGGGAAATTTTAAATTACCCTGAATTTTAATTTTCCCTTCGACATATATATAATATTTCTTCAGTTTCAGTTGTATATTAATGAATTAAACTGTCTTTATATTCTTTTTCTTGTCTGTCTACTCGTTAATTGGTAATCCTTGCTAATTAGTTGCTGTATATTCTAAACTAGCTGAAGTACCCGGCGTTGCCCGGGAAAATTAAATATTGCATGCTTCAGATATTGGAAAACGATGATCTTATGGTTTCCTATAAGTTACCGGCCCTGAATGTTACAAAATGCGCTCAGATCTTTTCCCCTTTTCAACTTCTTTTTGTTTTGGCATTTTAATATTATCACTCTGATAAATCTCTTTGGTGAACGCTTTGAATCGAGACATGAGCAGGACCAGCCTTTTTCGGTTCCGATACTGTCCCGATCTTGTCCCTGTCTCGTTCCCCCCCGACCAAGTCCCGATCCTATCCCGATCTCCTGCTGGTTCCGTCTCGGTCTCGTGCCGGTGTCGTCCGGGTCCCATCCCGATTGCACCCAAAAGAAAACTTTTGGTCCCGTTCCCGACCCCTGAACCAACTTTACTATCTCGACTCAAAGATTTTTGCAGTGTCTTAGAAGAAGATTTATAACACATGAGTTGTGACAATATGCCATTCAACAGAAGTCTTTCACGATCGTAAAAATTATCATTTCTAATAAAAAAAGTGTTGTTTGTGGTTCTGGTAAAAAAATTTTGGTCCGGGTCCCAACTTCGGACAGAAAAAAGATTTCGATCACGGTCCCGTCATCGGTCAAAAATAATTTCGGTTCCGGTCCCTGCAGTAAACTTTTGATCTTGGGACCATTTTGCCGATCTCTATTTGACTGATTCCTACATTAGTTTGGAGTTAAAAAAAGCTTCTTTGTAAAACGTTGTCACCGTTTGCTCCGTTGAAAACTTGACCAAAAGGATATTACTGACGATGAATGAATGTATGCTCAAGTACGATTGATCAGCAAATAGACCAATCAAATTTGAACATACTTGCATACCCTAGGATCTCTTCAATTCAATGACGAAAATTTCAAGTCTTTATCTCCTTTCGTTCTCGAGTTATTGAGAAGACAATCGCTCGTACGGACTTTTTGGATGGGACACTTACTGTAGTGCTCCAACAACGGGATTACTAAGTACTCCGGAGATAAAAGTTTTGAATCGAAAAGTAGCCCTTCGCTCCAGGGCGGTGCGAAGAGGTATAGGTAAAAGGAGAATATTCCAGAAATTGGAGAAAATTCTCCAAAATTTTTGAAAAATTAGAAAATTTTCTGCAATTTTTCAAAAAATGGGAGGGGGTTGGAGAGTCTCCCACCCTCTCCCGGCCTTCCTCTGCACCTAAGGGTATGCCATAGAAAATTTAGTGACGCTAGCTCTTACAGGGATCAAATGCATAAAGAACAGACAAACATTCTTCCTTATATATATAGACTAGCGGAAGTACCCGATGTCGGTCTAGATAATTTGATAGTACATGTTTGACGTATGAGAAGATGACGTCGCTATGGTCTTCTATGGATTACCGATCGGGGATATCGCACAATACGCTTGGATCTTTTCCTTCTCAACTTTTAGTATTTGATATTTTGAGATTTTCATAAATATCTTTTTTCTTTTCAATT